CTTCCCAAGAATCAAGGTGTAAGCTACATCATCAGAACTATGGAGCTTTCTCTTTTAAAGAGAAGGTATTCATAGTGTACAGAAGACATTATGTGTGTAACAGAACATGCATCAGTCATTGGTTGCGTCTTTCATGCAGCTCACTGTGCCTCACTCATACATTCTGTGCATTCTGAATTTGTCAGCCAGGTGACTTCATTCCCGACACAACCCTTTCGCTTGGCTGGGGTGAACTGTCGTTGTCCATTAAGCCAAAGGGCTCTCCATCATCATTAATTGATACCTCCTTCCAAGAGGAGGGAGGCTATTGTCCAAAGCTGTCAGACCTACTCTCATCACCCACACCAGAGGAATGCACTAGGAATCACACATCTCAGACACTCTCAGCACATCTCTTTTGCTCCGGCCACCATCAGGCACGCTGTCTTCTGTGACCCATCCCACATGGTGCCACTGGAGAATTTATGCTATTCAGGAATGACAGAATTTTGGGACACTCATTTCTAGGATTCTCTTGCACAAATATACCCTCCAGACAAAATTGGGAGCCACAGGATAACACAGCCTGCATTCACCTATAACCGCAGGCTCAGGACTTGGTTCAGAAGATGGCGAAGAGTCCACAGCAATTATCTGCTGACCCCGTTCATGCTGGCTTTTCCTCAGACCAGTTTCTTCTTCCGGTCTGGTTTCCTCTATAGCTAGGTCAGGTCCAATACTATTTATCCCGCTCTTTAGTGTGCTTCTATCTTAGGGTTATTACTCGGCCACAATCAAATACAAGCCTAAATACTGATCTTTCTGGACACACATAATGGTTTCTAGCTAAGAGTTTGCATATTAGGGTTCAGATCCTAATTCTGCCACTTACTAGCTCTGTAATCTTATAAAAATGATCGCATTCTCTCTGACTCCATTTTCCTATAAATGGGCGTGATTATAGACCCTGTGTCATAAAGTGAACATACAGACTGAATGAGATAATTATGAAAGGTTCTTTATAAAGTGCCTGGCACACAATGGTACCCCAAACATCATCTACTTAGCATGATCTTGCAGCAACAAAAATCACTCTCTAGCATTTTTTTTCTCTGCAGCCTACTTCCCTGGCTCACGTGTCTCGACTCTTTTGAATGGGGTCCATGGCCAATGGTCAACTCACACTGAGGGGAAATTCTGGTATTTCAATAACTAAATCATGTAAGATGGGCCTCCAACACTTTGTCCCCAACGCTTCCCTACCTCATCACATAGACACATCCAGTTCTAACGTAGAGAGAACCACACCTGTCGCAAGGTTGCAGGGAGTGAGTGAATAAGATGACTGATTTTAATGAGAACTGTGTCTCCCTCTGCATTTCCCACAAAGACTCCCCAACAATACACATGCTCGATACACAGACTCATACAGTCATACATTACACGGTTCGCCTCTGCTAAGACAGTATAAAGAGCACATAAGAACAGCAGGCAGTTGGCATGTAGAAGCAAAGGATGCATGCCGTCCTTCTCAGTCACCCCCATATGTGAGCAGATGTGAACTCTATGTATACTCTGTCACCCTCACCTTGTGTATTGCTCATCTCTCCTCCTTATTAATTCATCTACAGATTTTCTTACTTTTCACTTATCTCTAACCACTCATCATTCATTGCAATTCTACTGGGAAATTCAGGCTGGATGGCTTTCAGCTTCCTGCTAGGCAGAACAATCAGATTTAAGGAACATTTGTGCCAGGTTCTGTGTCAGCCAATATTCTTTCTACCTAGGTCATCAGCAGATATGGCACTGCCATTCTGATCACATCAATTTCAATTCAAGTTGCTGTGAACTGCCAGGCTAATAAAACAAAGACTCTTCTTCCCCGGCCCCAGGATGCAGGACACCTTTATATAACGTAGTTACACCACTGTTCAAAGTGATGATAATAAGAGCCAGCAGTTTCCCAACAGACAGTCAACCTCAAGAGACACACAAAGGGAAAACATAAAGATTACCAAAAAATGGTTTGTCGTGTCCAGAGGTCATTCTATTTCCTCTTCTCACTCCCTACCTGTTAGCTATTTTTGATTTCAGAAAACCATTCATGAAAACAGTTGCAAATAACAGGAAATGACAAAGTCGTTCTTGTTCAAATTTGTCATCTTTTCCATAAGCAAGGGACTAATTTAAATGGTCTCTATTTTGGCAGAAAAAAAAAATCATCCAGAGAAATTATTCCACACTGACTTGAAAAGAGGGGAGAAGATAATCGGGAAGGAAAAATGCAACCTGAAAATCAAATGTTTTCAGGAGAGCAGGGACAGAGCCGAGACCAGGGAAGCAAACTGGGTGATTACGGTGGGACAGCTGATCAGACTTCGTACTCTCAGAGCAAGAGATTTCCACTGTAAATGCTGGATCAAGGCAAGAAAACATACGGTATTTCAAAACAACACGCGCCAAGTTTAAATGTTTGTAACACATTTACAAAAGAGGAAAGAAATGCTGCAATTTACATTTGTTTATAAGAAGACAGCTTTGGTGATAAAGGATGTCATATGGCCCTGCTAATTACAATATGGAAAGAAGCAGAGACCCAAAATGGTGGAAATACTTTGGACATTTAAACGATGTGGGTAGATTTTAAGACCAGAACGTTGTTCTGGGGCTTAAACTCACTGGAACATAATATCAATGATACTATCTATAATTTGTTGAGTATTGTATTTCAGGCACTGCTCATGGTACTTTAAGAAGATTAGCTTATTTCATCTTCAGAGAAATCCTATCAAGGAGGTACCATGTTTATTCCCTTGTTTTAAACAAGAAAACTGAGGCTCAGAAGTTGTTGGATTTATCTCAAGAATATATACACGTGGCATGGCCAGGATTTAAACCCAGCCAGCCTGACTCTAAAATTTACACCCTAAATCAGAATTTTACCCTACATGAATTTGAAGGTAAATCACCAGAATATGTAAATGTTTTCCAGAATACATGTTCAGTTTGAGGCTGAGATATATGATGCTATATTTATCCGGAACATGGGCAGGAAATGAAGTGGAAGAAACTTGTGAATGTATAAAAAATTTGCAGGGTATTTTTCTAAATATATACACAAAAAGTACGTCCTCTGCTAGTCTACCATAATTTCCATCACAAATACTTGAGCTCCGAAATGGGCATACAGTTTGTTAACATGTCTTTATACACACAGAGAAGTTTAGATACTAGAAGAAAATTCCCAAGAACTCCTAAAGATGAAGGTATATAGATAGCATTAAAAGGAACTCCAGTAATAGGTTTAAATTTCTTAAGTGAAATTGGTTTCTTTCTTTGACATACTGGATATGATTCCCTTACTTCTCATTACACAAACAACCTCTACTCTCTGAACTTATCCTTCACCAAATGATGACATCATTATGACTGAACGTATTTGAGTAAGTTTTATAATTCTTTTTCAGATAGAATATAAGTGTATGATTGCACTTTCCAAATTCTGAATGTTTCATAACGGCTCATTATATCCTATTATAAATCCTTCATAGCACAAGACCGACAAATGGCTAAAATCCATCCCCAAATAGCAGCTTTCTTTTCACCTGACTGTGCTTTAAATGGCCATTAAAGTGTTGGTGTTTGTCATAAAAGCTAACTGATCCAACATATGATTTTATTTTGAAGCTGGTCATTCTGAGAAACAAAGGGTCAGAGTTCCCTTAGGGAAATCTGGTAAGCTCTACTTTTTGTTTCTCCTCTTCACCCCTCTTTAGGAAAAGAAAGACGTATTGATCTTATCTCACGCATCGGCCCTCTGAGAGGATGGCAATTAGCTAATAGAGGTTATGCAGTCAGAAAGGTCGTCAAGTACAAGGGAGTGTCTTTTTTTTTTTCAATATTTGGCTGTAATCATTTTTTTAAATTTTATTTTATATTGGAGTATAGTTGATTAACAATGTTATGTTAATTTCAGGTGTACAGCAAAGTGATTCAGTTATACATATAAGAGGGATAGATTGGGAGTTTGGGATTGACATGTGCAAACTGCTATCTTTAAAATGGATAACCAACGAGGACCTACTGTATAGAACAGGGAACTCTCTCAGTATTCTGTAATGACCTAAATGGGAAAAGAATTTGACAAGGGAGTGTCTTCTGACGCAATGCAAAGACATCCTCTTAGTTCTTTCTTCAGAGAGATGTAAGGGAGCACTGCCATCGCCTCTTTGCTCCCTATTGGCCCCTCAAGAGTATTTTCAAATTTCACACTAGGCTCACTCTTATTCAAACCCTTTAATTGTTTGACTGCTTCCCTAGACACTTTCCAAGCCCTCTGGGGCTTCATGGCCTATGGACTTGGTCAACAAAGAATCCCTCCCATTCTCTAGTAGGTCTGTGTCTTTATTCCCATCTTACCCCTAGGTTCTTCATGACCTTTTTTTTTTTCTTAGATTCCATATATATGTGTTAGCATACGGTATTTGTTTTATGGGGACGGGGAAGGGTAAGCTGGGACAAAGTGAGAGAGTGGCATGGACGTATATACACTACCAAAGGTAAAACCGCTAGCTGGTGGGAAGCAGCCGCATAGCACAGGGAGATCAGCTCAGCTCAGTGTCTTGTGACCACCTAGAGGGGTGGGATAGGGAGGGTGGGAGGGAGGGAGACGCAAGAGGGAAGAGATATAGGAACATATGTATATGTATAACTGATTCACTTTGTTATAAAGCAGAAACTAACACACCATTGTAAAGCAATTATACTCCAATAAAGATGTTAAAAAATAAAAACTTTTTTAAAAATTAAAAGAAAAAAAGAATCCCTCCCAGAGCTGTTTCGTGGATTGCAAATTAACCAATGAAAATGTTCTGCAACCCCGCCTCCCTCTCCCACATGGAATGAGGCCACATAAGGAACTAGTTATTAAAATGATCGAGGAAACGGCCAACTTGGGGACTTTAACTGCCAGTCCCAGCGCTGCAGTGGCTCAGGACCACACGTGCCTCGTGACATACCTCATAGAGGTCGATCATGACGTTGCCCTCAGGGCCTCTGCTGCTCTGGACATTCTCCAAGGCCAGAGTGAAGTAGACACCACGGGTGTCTGAGATGTAGAGGTTGTATGTGTCGTTTTGGTTCCATTCTTGGACCGCTGCGAACACTTGGTTCTCATCAGTGCTGATGACATGCATGTCCTGAGGAAAGACGCAGGGAAGGAAACAGGAAGAAGAGTTTTATAAATGCACCTGGCACGCGTCCACAGAGTGGAATCTGATGAAGAATACCAGAATAGGCTCATAGGTACTGTGTGGGAGGACAGAGATTTTCCTATAGCATATTTGTGACATAATAGTTAAGTGTTGGTCACATATTTCCTTTGTCATTTATGAGGTTAGGCAGTAAGGTCATCAGAAAATAGGACAGGGAGATGCTTGGTAGCTCAGTTACAATTTAATTACCTCATTAGATAATTTGAAGGATAATTTCTCAAATGTGTATGAGTTTGGAGAATCAGGCATCCTGATAAATTTGCCAAGCACAAACACAGTACATGTTCAAAAGGCACATATGGGGCAAATACAGGGGCAGAGAGAAAACAGACAAGCTTTGCATCTCTCACTGTGGTCCAGGGACCTGCAGCATGGGCATCACCTGGAAGTTTGTTAGAACCTCAGGCCTCACCTATCGAATAGAAATCTGTATTTTAATAAGATCCGTGGATGATTAATATACACATTAATGTTTAAGAAGCACTTCCCTAAGGCTCAGCAACCCCTAGAGGTTCCGGAGGAAAAATGTTCACCTGAGACCCCCAGAGCACTAATCTTCAGGTTACTGAGTGTCCAAGGACTTAGCTTATCAAAACCTGTACCCTGAGAAGTTCCCCAGGAAACCTTAAATAAAACAGGGAAAAACAGTCTGCATAAATGATGACGTTTTCACACTCCGGTTGTCCTGGAAGATAGAAACAAGGCAGACATAATGTGGAGGCAGTGAGCAGATGTCCCTGGGGTGGGGATTCCAAATCCTTTCTCTCCCCATTCAGAACTCCAGAGGAGTGGGTGTTCAGGGAGAGGCTGACATAGACTAAGGCTTGATGTCTCAGACCAAGGCCTGCTGTCTCCTTCAGGAGATCCCGCTCATTGCTCTCGGCAGCCTTCCCCCCTTCGCCCAAGGTGGTACACATTGGTACCACATTCAAAAACCAAAAAGCAAAACAAAAACAGAATTATGTATAAGGCTAAAGGTAAAAGAACAACCTCGAAAGATTCTTGGCCTTTGTGTAGCTCAGGGCTCAGATCCTCCCAGAGGCATCATCCACTCTCCTTGAAAAGATTCAGGAGGTCTGTCAATCTTCCTTGGCAACAACTCCAGGGCCGGAAAATTCTACCTAACTTTAAAATTTCCCATTGTAATATATGCCCACGTTCTCTCAATCAATCAATCAATCAGCAATTCAGCTTCAACTCTGCTTTAGACTTAGAGGAACAAGTCTCTCATTCCTCTTGAAAACTGACCATAGTGAACTTACAAGATTCCGGAAGGAAGAAGTCCTTATCCAAAGGGTTTTGTATTCCTGACACCTTCTCAGGCCTTACTGCCATACTCTAGAGTTTGATAACGTTTTTATAGAAAAAGTGGGGAGGCCAAAAATGAATCCTGCCCATGAATTCAATTTGGTTGATAATGCAAACTAAGGTTTGGTATAAAAGTTGGCCATATCTTATATCAGCCCAACGCCTATGTACATTTCTTCTGGCAACTGTAGCTTGATGTTCTTTGAAAAAACATCCTCGTGCTTCTCAGACAAATTTCCTCCCTGTGCTCAGTCTTTGCTACTTCCTCCCACCCTCGGCCCCAGAAGTGATCTTGTAGGCCTAGCATTAAGAAAATTCCATTTTCCTGATGACAGTGATTGGATCAGTGATGGCAAACTCAGTAAGACATGATGCGAGAATGACTGTGGAATTATTAGAGAGACAGAAAAAAGTTATTTTTTACTGTTAGTTTGTAAGCAGTTGGAATAAAAATAAAGTCTAGATCTGATGGAGACATATCTTGGAGGCAGAGGATAAGCCAATCTTGGAAAAATAGGCTCAAAAGGTGGAGAGAGATGGTCCAAATTCTATGATAGTCTTTGAGTCTCTGAATGTGGATATCTAAGGAGCCTGCCCACCCGTAAACTTGTTTAGTTAGAGAGGACAGTAGAGCAAGATGATGAAAAGAATGGTCTTTGAAGTAAAACTACTTGAGTTCAAATCTCGGCTCTGTCATTCAGCTGTGCGAACGGAACTTTGTGCCTCAGGATTTCCACCTGCAAACCAGAGATAATAGTATGCCCTTCATGGAGTTGTGAGGATTAAATCAGTTAGTAAGTGTTAAGCATTTAACCATCTGCTCCATACATGCTAGCTATTTTCTGTTAAGCAAACCCTAAATCCCCTTTGTTGATTAAGCAAGGTCGATTTGGCCTTTCTGTTCATTGCAAATATTAGGGTGCTAACTAATACACTTAACAAAAAGTGCTTCATCCAAATGTTTTGTTTCTTTCTAATCGAGGGAATTAACTGTGGAAACTAGTCCAAAGGCCATTCATCCACTGAGGGCCAAACCTTCTATGGCTCCCCATTTCCTATAGGACAAAGATCAAAGTCCTTACCCTACCATTTAGAACCCTTAAACAACTACTCCCAATTCATGTTTCCTTCCTTGTTAGCAGGATGTAGCTTCATCCCTGAATTCAGGTTTAAATATTTCAGCAGTAACCTGGTCCCTGCATAACTGTGCCTTTGGGCCCATTAAATAATCCTAGGGGCCAGAGTAAATCATCCATACTACCGCAGCCCACTCAAACTTTTCCTTGGTCAGTGTGGAATGCAAAACACAGATGCATCAAGTACTTAAAGTCACTTAGAGAACTAGTAACAGAGCAAAAACAGATTAAATGGCTAGATAAGGGCCAAGGGCAGATCTCTCTCTATATATAATCTAATTACACTGAAGAGACTGTTTAAAAACCTTGAGGATATGGGAAGGGGGAAGGGTAAGCTGTGACAAAGCGAGAGAGAGGCATGGACATATATACACTACCAAACGTAAGGTAGATAGCTAGTGGGAAGCAGCCGCATAGCACAGGGAGATCAGCTGGGTGCTTTGTGACCGCCTGGAGGGGTGGGATAGGGAGGGTGGGAGGGAGGGAGACTCAAGAGGGAAGAGATATAGGAACATATGTATATGTATAACTGATTCACTTTGTTATAAAGCAGAAACTAACACACCATTGTAAAGCAATTATACTCCAATAAAGATGTAAAAATAAAAAATAAAACTATGTTGGTCTTAAATATTGTAACTGAAACGTCTGACATATTTAAATGCCATCTTTCCTTTCTCTTCTTGCCTACACGCGCCTATATCAGGAAAATATGTTAGTTCACCCAAAATGGCACTTTATGTTGAAAGCTTATACTGAGATACAAAATTTTAGACCAAGAAGTGAACTCTGAGATGTTCTAGAGCACTTCCCAACATCTGTTCCATAGGACACCACTATTGTTCGATTTTAATAGATTTTTTTTTGAATGGATCCTTTTGTAAAACGTTTTGATTAATGCTAACTATACAGCTTTCTTGCTCACAGGACATCCTAGAGCCTTTAACGTATCAGCGAGCTTCTGTTAGTCTCTAGGCAAGGAGCATGGAATGGAGTTTATTTCTTTTTTTAAACTCACGATCATAGAACCAAATTTTCATGAAGCATCTCTAAGGGCATTTTATTGAGTAATGAGTTTGAGAAAATATTATTGTCAATCTAAGCTCCGTATTTTAAAAATGTAAAAAAAAAAAAAAGAGAAATTGACAAACCAGCCCAAGGTTCAAAGCAGGGGAATGACAGATCTAGGTCTGGAATTAGGGTCTCTCGCTGTGAATCAAGCAGCCTTTTCATCACCCACACCCCAGTTCACATCGATCTTCTCCAACACAGACAACTAGATCCATACTAATACTAATATTACCTGACTTTTATAGAGTATCTGTCCTCCAAAATGCTCAAAGCACTTTCATATGTGTTGCCTCATTTATCTCACTTGAGTAGCTCAGAATGAGCTCCAAGTACGGTAAGGGAGGAAAACTGTCACTAGGTCTCCCTGTCTGGAGGGCCTCACACTCTTAATGGTAACAGCAATATTAAAACCTCCCCACCTCCCTCTCTGGTCATCTTTACCATTATATTAATTTTTTTTAATACAGCTCAGGGTAACCTCAGTCTTTCAAGAGTTGATACAATGGCAGGGGATGATTAAAAAAAATTTGAGCATGTAAGTGCAGGTTTGTCTCAGTTCCTTTGGTGGGCATGACGCTTTGTTCCTTTCCAGCTGCAGCAGCCCTGCTTTGATAGAGGGTCCTGAAATAATGCATCTTTGCCAAGGATCACTCCACCCAACCTGGGGCTTCTCTTTGAAGGTGTAATGGGATTGTAATGAGGCATCTCATTGCCTTAAATAATAAACACCCACTTGGACCAAATAGTACCTTCATTCGCTGTAGTGGTTCCGATTTTTCTGGGGACAAGCTAAATTAATCACCCCATTCTACCCTTGGACCTCAGATGAGGCTGACTAATGGAACCTGCTCATCTGGGAGAGTGTGGGAGGGGCCAGACAGCCAATTCAGGCTCAGACTAAAACTCTTCCTTCCAGATTGGCAAGATGCCACTGGGGGCAGCTGTCAACAGTGATTGGCGTGATGGCTATGAACAAGCAACGCACAGTATGTGTTTCCCAACACTCCAGCCAAGGGGCCAAGTGGTTTCTTTGTTTTAAAATACCATTCTGAGGCTGTACAGATCAATGGGGCTTTTTCTCTGGATGCTCCTCAGTATATAAAAATTTGGGGGGTGGGTGCTGCTCCCTTTTAGTAACAGAATCTATTAATTTATTTAGAGAGTAGAAAAGTGTAATACAAGGAATGCCAGTTTGGGAGTCAGGAGATTCAAGTTCTAGCCTCAAATCTGCAGCAAGAAGCATCTGGTTTAGCTGAAACTTATTCCACTCAAAAAGTATATTCCCAAGAGTAAGCATGATATGAGTGGCTTGAAACTGCTGTTTCCTGATGTGGTCCCAATTCCCACATGTCTCTTGAACAGAAGCATCTCACTGCATTGAGTATGTTCTTGTTTTTAAAGGTGAAAATC